TGGCTAGCGATTGCAGGGGATGTTGAGCACGGCGTTTCCACTTGTGATCTGGTGCGGATGCATGACCAAGCGCCCTCATCTAGTTGAGTCTACTAAAACTAATGAGGTCAGAGCTTTTTGTTTTTCTGATTTGTTTACTGCTATATATCACTCCTCCCCCTAGAGGGTAATTATGACCATAAGACGTGGTGTAATGTGATGTCGAGTCGAGAAGGTTGAACGTAACCAAATAAATCCTTGAAATCCCCGAGGAGCCAAATACCAGAAGACAGTTAATGTACCATATCGAGATATATATTTGCTGGCGATCTCGTGGTATCGAAAGGATACCGAGATCGTGGCAGGATACAAGCTTGGTTACAGAACGTAACTGAATTCGCGCGAAGTTACAATCAAAGTTTAAGTAAAGGAATGGAAGCACCAAATAGCTGTCATTAGCACAGTCAAACAAACGCACATTAAAACAAGCACTGGTACAGTTGGTTATAATGATAATTGTTTTTAATAAACCAGCAAGACAGAAGTTTCAACCCAACGAGTTTGCCGTTGATAAACACTCTTCTGATAGCTTGCTGTGCTTGGCAGCGTCTGGTATTTCTTCCTTACTATAGGAGACCATGAAGTACAATATAGTAAAAAAAGAAAACGTGCAATGAAAATTTCGATTCATCCTAATCTTCGTCGTTCTTTTTCGTCTTTTCCAGCCGTCCTGAGAAGAAAAAATAAGTGATGCAAGTACATGTTGAAATACACGCGTACATGCGTAAAAACCTAAAGCGGGCGTAATAAAAAAAATAAACTCATGCACACGTGATAGCCTAAAACAAATCTTAACGAAAAGGTTGTTCATTGTTTTTTCAATAAAAATATAAATATATAAGCATATCAAAATTAGTTTTTTAAAATATATATAGTACAAACGAAAACTGAGATAGTATAAAATGTCAACTGATATCATACCTGCAAAAGTCTTTCAAATGTTCTAAAAATCTTAGTCTTCTTCCAGAGTGCGTTGTTGTAAGTTTATATTCCGATTAAGCCGAAGTATCAGCATGCGTCTTGGCTGTCGAATGAGGTATTATAGGTGTAGGAGACGTAGTGTTTGATTGTACCAAAGGAAAATCCATGTGAATAGAATTTTATTCTAAATACGCAGCTTTGAGGCGACCGATGCTGATTCTATCGTTGGTTCCGTTCTTATAGACAATATAGTACTTGGGTTCGCGTTGAAGAACTTTGAAATGCTCATCTTATAGCTTCAAATTGAAACCCCAAATCGCCTTTTCTTCCAAACTACTATTGTCTCAAAAGAATGTGTTTTTTAAGGTGTAGAAAAATTGATTATATCTCCACCGACAATTTGACCACGGACAACAAAGAATGTGTCACTAGTGTAGGTAGAGGTACATGAGGAGCCGAACACCGAATTGAAAAATGTTGGAATTGGAAGATCGACTGATGTACAAGGTAAAATACATCTGAGCGTCGGTGGATGCGACTGTCAAGTTGTACCCGAAAGCTTGTTCGATCCGACGAGTTTTTAATAGGTCCCGATATGGATTTCCTGATTAGAGAAACTTGAACTGTGGTCCAGGAAGAAAGAAAAAGAAGGAGCATTTCAAAACGCAAGATCATTATTCTCAAAAATATATTCAAATGAAGAGCGAGTGTTTAGAGAATGGAATCATCCTCAGCACATCTTAGCTTCTTTTCTAGTTAAACTATAAACAAACGGTAGGAAGTAGCCGTTGCTCAACATCCCCTGCAATCGCTAGCCAGATTAGACCAGTCGATCCTCGATATTTTGATAGCCTATGAAATATATCTTAGAACCTCCTCGCTTCTGTTTTTTGATTTCACTTGGTGGGTACGACTCACATTAGAAGGTGTTACTGGTTAAAGTGTTGTTAAACTACGAATACCAGTGGCATCTCCAACTTCATCCTTTTCTGTTTGATACTTATAACTGTACATCTCTTTGTTGAAATTAGTGACCAGTTGTTAAAACAAACAAGAGCTCGTTAGGTAAGAGCTTATTATACCTCACGCACAGTCATTGAATGATTCGGATTGAAGAAACATCAGCGCAAAATATAAGCAGCTGGTCAGTTTGTCAAGGTCATTTCATTGCTCAAGGGCGTTGTGCATTAAGGTCCTAACTTTCAACTCTATTCCCGTCTCTTCCTAGTCCCCTGATTCATTTACAGTGATATCTAGTGAATGTCTCTGTCCGACGCCCTCGTAATATATATGACAGTTTCTTCATCGGTGTAGATGAACCGTTGACTTTCCCTTCTTGAAGACGACATGAGATGTTTGTGACTACCAGTCCCACACTACGTGGGACGCATGAAATATATTGTTAGCCGGGTTTTAAGGGATATGAAAGATGCGCCTGACACTGAAAATTTTGAGTTCATGGGGCTATCAACCTGCTGTATGGTATGGTGGGTGTGATAGCCTTGATAGTGTAGGTTTCGACATCTCTGTAGACTCCTATAAGCTGGGGTTTAAATTCGGTAAGCCGCATTATATCGCTCATGTTGTTAAGTATCCATTAATAACTACTTCATGTTGACGATATCTGCATTGGTCCCGACGCTTGCTTCGAGAACTATTTAATTTAGTGTACGGTATACGTAGTCCAATACTCCTGTTCACTAATGACTTGCTTCTGACACAATGCAGATCCTCAATTACTCAAAGATTTATGTAATATGATCATTGGGTATCATAAGTAGATTTGTCAATATATTTTCTTTTTAGCCTGAAGCTTGAGTTTCCCTCCAGCTTAATATTCCTACATGAAAAATATTTAGCCGTTCATGTTGCAATTTCTAGTGGTGTTAGCATGGGTGATTATAAACTTGGGTGTTGCTGAACTTGCATTCCACATTTTGCTTCGTGTTTTACCCTTCACATTCCGCAAGCGTAAATAAATTTTCACAGTAAATTTATGGAGAGTCTATCGCTTCTTATATCAGCTCTCTAGATATAATAGAATAACGATTTCGATCCGTTTTATCCTCCCTGTGTCTCCAGCGAATCAGCTTCTCCAATGCTATGGAAGACCCGATAAGTTGTTGGCTGGATGGTGTTCCGTTTTAAAAATCCCATATCCTACTCCAGAAAGCGAATTTCGCCAGATCATCTATAGGGATCTCTGAGATGTCCTTATTGAAATCGACCATAATATGTAGGAGTTGTCAATTCATGTTACGAGGATCGAATTCTCCCCAATGTCTTTTCAACAGACCTAGTTATCGTGTTAGACCAGTTCACTGGGAGAGAAAAATCCCTGATTGCCGATATATCAGAACCTTATTCATGCAGGCGTTAAAAAACATTTAGACTAGTTTGGGATTTAAACCAAACAATCAATGCTAAAGATAACTTGGGACGACACAAGTAGGTGACAATTTTATCCAACTGTTATATGCGTTGTACTCAATGTATAAGTTAACTCAATGGATATTAGCAGAGACGTTAATGATTGAGATGAATAATATAATTTCGCATAAATATAGACATTTATTTCCTGGATTTATTTGTCACTATTATTCTGTGGTTGCTACATCGATAAATGCAGGTATGAGGGTTAGTATAACCATTTTACTGGAGATTAAAGAGTGTTTTCAAAGCGCTTTACTTATTGATTTGGGCTTTTACAGGCCCTTGATGGTTTAAAATGTATGGGGGTGGTTATCACTTCCTGGTTTCCACATGTTCGAAGATTTCTTATAGATTGACGTATAATGGATATTATGTAGGATGTCGTCGACCTGTTCTTATCCCTCTCTCTATTTTTTAGGAATGCAGCATCGCTGTTATGCTTGTTGTCTGAGAAAAGGGGCTTGCTAGTGTCACAACTCTATATTCCGTATTACGATTTAGCACTCAGACATTGGGCTCGTTACGGCTCTTCAAGTGACCTGCCTGTCACAGTCGGAGCTTGTAGAACTGTTGTTCCAACTTTTATAGGCTGCCTGTTTGGCAAGCTCGATCGATAGCAGCAACAGTGTGGTATGGTTGTAGACATTTGATGGTTCCTAACGTCGTCCACACAAATTTACGACTCCAAGTCAACCATTTCTTTGGACATTCTGAGACATTGCTATGCTATTTTATTGCTTTGATTGAAAGTTTTGACTTATTTGTGCTCAGTTTTCTCCCAATTGTTTACTTTACGTTCAACATATTTTCGGCTGACATATGTTAGTGGTTTATTTGAGTTTCGAATTTTGATTGCTTGGTTATCAATGATTGTGCAATAAGAATTTATGTCACTTTCATTTTTAATAAATATGACGACATTTACCCGTTTAATGATATCAGCTTTCAAATGTTCATGTTTGTATGTATTCGAAAACGATGTTCATTTTCTTATTGTCGTATCCCTGCGCTTATAGAAAGTGTTGCATTTCAAATGAATAAACATGTGATTCTCTTGATTGTGATTGACTCAAGGCTCATCAGTAGCCACTTGAATGTATGCTCCCCACAAAACACTGATGTGTTTAGATTAAATTCATAAGTAATATCTGTATAGGTTAGGTGCTTTCCGTTGTTCTTATACTGACAATTAGTCTTCAGCGAATCCCCTTACCTGAAAATAAGACTTCACGACATACTGATGTCATTATATATTTGCAGGAACCAGTAGCTGTTGGACTTTTAATTGTAAACATACACGATTAAATGACACGTCTTCTATTTCGTATAATTACTCGTCTGTATTTTTCAAAGGTTAGTAAATGTGAACTTATTGATTCTGTGGGATTTTTGTGAGTTATTTAACGTCCAAAACATTAGTACCGTTGTGGTTACTGATTTAGATACTTAATTCTAAACCAATGGGTAGTATCACAGCTAAAATACACTTTTTTCAGAGCTTAGTATGTTGGTTTGTAAAATAATTCCATCCGCTGTTTTTTTCTGTTTTAGGAGTCTTAGGTATAAACGAACTTGAACGTCTTAGTGTTACTTCAGTTCTCTTTTGTATGCAATTATTCAGGTGAGATGACAAATAGCTTCATGTAATCATTAAGTAAAATCCCACGTGTTAACTCAAGTTTCTTTTTCAGAATGTCTACGAAAAAGTCAGACGAAGAGTGGAAATGTGTTTTGAACGCCGAACAGTATCGAGTAGCTCGTCTTAAAGGCACAGAAGCAGTAATCACAGGATTTCGATTTAACTTTTTATGTAGCCTTTCACCGGTGAATATTACCATAATAAAGAAAAGGGTGAATACCTTTGTGTATGCTGCGGATCAAAACTTTTTGAGTAAGTCGTTTTCATTAAATAGCTATTCAGTGGAAAATTTGATATCAGTTTTGATGGTTTAGTAATGCAATAACTATAATAGCCGGTAATATTCATACTCTATTAATATACATTATAAAAGACGTAAAAATATTCTTTACATTGAGTTTCATATTTGTTTCAGACTAGATGTTTATTTTATTTATTTATTTATTTTAACACATAGATATTGGTACAAGGAGGCATCAAATATATATGCGCCACACAAATCTCATTTGATATGTGTGAGGGCTGTGATACTACCCGGATGCCCAAACCGAAGCAGGAGAGACTAGATGTTTACTGCATATATACTGCATATCTGTATCCATTTCCTCTCTCATCTAAATGGAATCACATCAAACGGAAGTGTTAAATATCGTACGCATTGATTTTTGATACTTGAATGCATCAGATATCAGGACAGATGTTTTGTTCTGGTGAAGATTCTTTATTGTTGTATTATCGATCGAACTACACATTTCCGTATACGTTGTAATTATGCCTAGAACTTGAAAATTTACTCTGAAATCCAGATTTTGAAAATCTCGTTCTATTTGTTTTGTGATCCTTCTCAAATGTTTCACCGTCATAATCCAAGCGTAGTTACGTAAACTCAAAGAAAAGGTTAAAAATTCCCACGGTTATGGGTTGAAATCTATCATGATGGGACCTGTGTGTTCGTTTTCTTGTTTTTTCCTCAACATTTTGACTTTCGCTATGATTCCTTACTTTCTATTGCTTGATTTTATTCGGCATCTTCAAACTTTAGTCTCATTGACTATTATTGATAGTACCGTTATCTCTACTTCTAAATATTCACCTTGTTAATAGTTTCTATCGCAATGCTGGTGACAGCTGTTTAAACTTGATCCGGTGTATATTTGTGACAGACCTTACTCTGATTAAAAGCTGACTGAAACAGTTTACGGAAAGACCTTTTTTAAGAGGAAGAATGTGTTTGTAAAATCTCAGTAAATGAATTTAAAGTAAATCCAACGTTTCGCCTGGTAATCTGGTCCAAGCTCTTTCGAGAAAATATAATCAAACACCAAAATTATCGAATATAAATAAGTACATGGTTCTCTGATTAACTGTATATTAAATAGGTTATCCAATCAACGTTAAAAATGTTTAAAGTAGGTATTCGCTTTAGTGTGTAAGAGACATGTGGTATGAAACGAAAAGTGCTAAGACAACAGATGGTGTGTATACGTAAGTGTTCATAAAATCAAATAAAGTGACTTTAATTCCGCATATGTAGGTGAAACATCAAGACAACTGAATGTGATTCCGAAGGAACATAAACTATGCTTAAAGCACGTTCCTAAATTCTCAGACGATGTAAGAAAAACTCGAAAACAAATCAGCAATAACATTAAACTCAATAGAATCGGGTCATACGATTGATTCCAATGGCACAAGAACCTTTCAAAAAAGTTCTAATTCTTACAAAAAAAGACTGACAACAGAAGCCCTACACATATAGGCAAATTGAAATATTATTAATAGGAAAGATGAAATACAGTTAGCTGTCCTATGGCAACTAATAATTAATAAGTAAACATGAACTCCTTATTCTATTTTATCTCTTATTATCTGAAAAACAGCAATTACATTCAACAATTCTGATCAGTTGTCTTATCTGAATATCAGATGGGTTTTTGTGGAGATTGTAGTAATTTCAATGGTTAAGATCATGAGTCAGTTGAAGCTAGACCACCATGAAAAACCTGGAAGCACTGGACGGCCGTATCGTCCTAGTATGGGACTCCTCAGCAGTCCCACAATAGGACGAAACGGCCGTCCAATGCTTCCAGGTTATCTGAATATGTGAAATAGTTAACTGAAACAATAAAAAATAACGCAAACATTCATTTACAAATACATTCTTCCTCTTTGAATTCATTCCTTTATTTTGGTTATCTTCATCTTATGCATACTGTGACATATTTGATTCAGATCATATATAAAAATTGCATGTTTTCTTAAAAATTCACCGACTAGAGACAATATATGGTAAATGAAATTTCTCACACCACGTACGTATACACATCATCTGTTGTCTTAGCACTTTTCGTTTCATACCACATGTCTCTTACACACTAAAGCGAATACCTACTTTAAAAATTTTTAACGTTGATTGGATGACCTATTTAATATACAGTTAATCAGAGAACCATGTCAGTCAGTAACAACGTAGAACTTCGTACGTACGTACATCAGTTCGAGTTGTCACACCACATTAGCACAGAGATGCACTTGTCGATTCAAATCCCGTAGTGGTAGAGGTAATAAGAGTATAAGCAGTAATCGGGAAGATTAGGGTTTGGAGATGTTATTTAAAGAGTATAATCCAGTGAAATAAATTTGGAAAGAGGAAAAAAGGGACATGAAGAATTCAGAATATTGGAATTTGGGAGAACACAGAGAGTGGGTGCACCTGCGCCATTGCAAACGATTTTGAGCCATGTCATTCAGGGTCTCTAACCATCGGTTGCTATCATCTCGTGGTCCCCAACCAGATAGTCCACACCTACCAACATGACTCAGTTCACTTGTCAGTGACTTCATGGACTTGTGCCATGTTTTGGTTTGGCCGCCCCTAGCTTTCTTCCAACCTACTCCTATACCACTGAACATAGCACGTTGAGGCAGTCGGTCGTTGGGCATACGTAACACGTGTCCCAGCCATCTCAACTGATGAAGTTTCACTACGTCATCAATTGATTTGCCATCCTTACGTAGTACCCGTTTCCTAACAACTGTGTTACTTACTCGATGGTCCCAGGATATACGAGCAATGTTTCGAAGACACCTGTGATCAAATACTAGTAGCCTACGGATATCCTCTACTCTTACCGGCCATGTTTCACTGCCATAAAGTAGGACGGGACGAACTGCTGCGCAGTAAACACGTCCTTTGGTTGATACACGGATATCTCGCCTACGCCACAAATGACGCAAGTTGGTAAAAGCTAGTCGAGCCTTCTGTATCCATGCTGAGATTTCGTCACACACCAGACCACAAGGGCTGATGAGACTTCCAAGATAAGTGAAGCGGTCGACACACTCAACTACTTCACTCCCTATCACTAGTTCGGGTGTCGATGTAACCCAATCCTGAAGCAACATTTTACATTTCGAGGGAGAGAATCGCATCCCGAACATGCTTGCATTGTTGCTTAGAGTGGTCATAAGACTCTGCATTTTGTCAGCGTCTTCACCAAATAGAACTATGTCATCAGCATATTCTAAGTCAACAAGTGAACCTCCCGGTAGAAGTTCAACCCCTGGAAATTTAGATGAGGAGAGGGTTATCTCTAAAAGTACGTCGACCACAAAGTTGAACAAGAATGGGGAGAGTTGACAGCCCTGACGAACACCACTTGAGGTAATCAATTCTGATGACAGTTCGCCATAAGCTCTCACTCTACCAGTTGTGTTCGAGTAGAGAGCCTGTATAAGGTTAATGTACTTCTTTGGTACTCCTTTCAGTGACAAACACTGCCATAAAACCTCACGCTCAACAGAGTCGAATGCTGCCTTGAGGTCGAGAAATACTACCATTGTGGGGCGTCTGAATGTGTGTCTGTGTTCTAGAACCTGACGTAGTGTGAATATCTGATCTATACAACCACGTCCAGGTCGAAAACCAGCCTGGTTTTCTCTAATCTGCTCTTCACGAGCTTTGATTAGGCGTCGAAGTATTATTGAAGCTAATATTTTAGACACTATATTAGTCAAACTGATTCCTCTGTGATTGTCACAAGAGGACTTTTGTCCTTTCTTATAGACTGGCACAATCAGTGATTGAGACCAGTCAGATGGGACTGTTTCCAGTTCCCAAATTCTACCTAAGACCTCGGTTAATCTCATTGCTAATACTGGACCACCATCCTTAAAAATCTCAGGAGTAAACCTGTCAGGGCCTGCTGCTCTCCCTCGTTTCAGATTTCTTATGGCTTTTTCAACTTCGTAAAGGGACGGAGGACCTACATTAACTTGCCATGCAGGTTGACTAGAGATCGTGGGAAACCGAAGTGTGGCTGAAGGCCAGTTGAACTGATCCCTGAAGTGTTCTGCCCATCGATCCAATCTCCTGGATTGAGAATGAATAATATGTCCATCTTTCTCTGAGATTGTTTCGCTAACGGTCGGGTTCCTAATTCCGGTTTCCTTAACAAGTCTGAACAATTGTCTGCTATTACCTATTACCGCTGTCTTTTCCATCTCTCTTGCTTTCGCTACCCACCACTGTTCGCGATCATTGCGTAGATATCTTGTCAGCTTGCGCTTAAGCTGACTCCGCTTTTCATTATGTTCAGAGCCAGGTGGAATGAGTTTCCGAGCATGTATCAGTGAGAACCATGTACCTATTTATATTCGATAATTTTGGTGTTTGATTATATTTTCTCGAAAGAGCTTGGACCAGATTACCGGGCGAAACGTTGGATTTACTTTAAATTCATTCACTGAGATTTTGCAAATACGTTCTTCCTCTTTAATGTCTGACGTCAACTCGGCGCTCAAATACTGTGAAACTATTCGGTCAAATTTAGACGAAATTTCTTATAAAAACTGTTTAAGTTTTTATCGCACCGAATGTACTCTGCTGTAAGTCAGACGTTTCTTGAGAACTAGAATGTGCAGTTGTTCAAACCGACGCAAATAAATTGAGGTTTGAACCTGCTATTTAGTGTTTTGAAGGTCGAACGCCTTAACCACTATGCCACCAATCAGTAATCTGAAGTATGTTTTACCCTTACGATTTAATGCTTGTGAATTTACTCGTCGTAAATAGCACCAGTGCGAAAGTATGAATTTGTTTTACATAACTGTGTAAGTACTAAATTATTATAAAATTAACTCCTTACAACGTCCAGTTAGTTTACAATGATACTAACTGTAAATATATAAGAGGTAGATCTACATTAATTTGACTAGCTATGAATCACGACCATGTTGATAACTTATTTTTGTGTGTTATCAAATCATTATAGATAATCTGTTAACTGTTAAAGATCAGCATCCAAGGTAAGTTGCATGGCAATTATTATAAAAAAAAGATTGTTTTAAGTTCTAGGAAACGAGTGACTGTTAGTTATGACTTGAATAAAGACGGCCGATGAATTGCGATTGAGAATCCACTGTAACTAGTAGCTGGATACATATATACTAAGATGAAACAAGTTTGTATGCCAAGTAATTTTCCATTTGATTGAAGTGATTTAAAAGACAAAGTTTCATATAAAATAGAGGGCTTTAATGCATATGAAGTGTATGTTGGAAATACTTTTGTAAACTTCAATGAAGGCTGAGACTTAGATAGTTTACTTAGGATACTCATCTGTTCATCCAACCTACAAATTACCTCGGATAATACTTAGATACACTTGTCCTGTTCTTGTAAAGCTAGGTACTATTCACAGAAGAAAATCCTTAGACACAAGAAGGAGCGAATTTTATGGTGAGTTAAAAGCAGTTCAGAGTTATTAAATATACTTTGTTAACCTTAACTACCTACCTTCGGATTCGTTACTCAATGTCATTGCTAAGATTCGACCTAAATACATCTGAGAAGCAATAAAAGCACTACAACGCCATATGTATGTACAATTAGCTTCACTGCTATAAAAGTAGTTTCCTTTAGATTTTCGTGATTTTATTTGAAGTCATTTTACTTTTTTGTATTTTATAACTTACAAATTACATGTTACGTCCAAACATTTACAACCAAAAATTCACGTATTTCACTGATTTCGGCAACATTAATATATCCTGCCAACTTTAATCAAATTCTGTTCTTATTTATGAGGATTTGCACATACATAGACTGAAATGTTACACCAAAATCTCTCACTATATATTTGTGTCTTTGGTGAATTTTATAGATACGTAAGTTGTCAGTAATAAAAGTTAATTCCTTACAACACTTGTTTCATGTATGATGTACAAGAACAACAGATTGATGTTGGTTGTAAGTTCATGGTATAACGATTATTTGAAAAATGGCAACTACTGTTGAAATTAATGACACTGTGTACATCCTAACACTTCTAACCAATAACACATTTCGACTTAATATTAATGAGCGAAAAGCATTCCATCATAGACATGCATTCTAACAAAAGTTTTTTCATCACTTTGATTGAAGGAGTGATCATTGGTTTTGAACTGTCTTGTTGAATATAAAATAGATCGTTTTTACTAACACTATGCTATAAAGAGCTTTAAGAGTGTAAAACACTATTTCACATGGGATGTTATTTCTGTTCGAATTTAGGATCCAACAGGGTTGATTGCGATGCAGTATGCGTAAAATAGACTTTTTATTTATTGAATATCAGAACACTATGACAATATCACTTGGTCTTGAAACGCCTAAGAAAATCTATAAGATACGATTACTTAGTTGAATCTCATATCACAGTGTCGACTATGATCGCATTATAATTATTCATCATCGAGTAAGTAATAGTGAGGTTAGACGCAGGGTATTAGGGAATGATGGTAAATCAGTTGATGAGGTTGTGAATCTTCATCGACTGAGATGGTTGGGCTACGTGTTACGTATGCCTGAACACTGATTATCACGACGCACAATATTGACTAGTGTTGGTGATGGTTGGAAGAAAGTTAGTGGCGACCAAACCAAAACGTGGCATCAGTGCTTGAAGTCACTAACTTGTGGTCTGAGCCATGTTGGTAGATGCAGACTACTTGGTTGGGGTCCGCATGACTATCGTAACCAATGGTTGGAGACTCTTGGTGACATGGCTCAGAATCTGTCACAATGGCGTAGTTGTATACGCTCTGTTTTCCCTTAAACCGTGAGATTACTTTGTACCTTTCTTTGTAAGAACTAATTCTTTCTCCCTGTACTATACTTTTATACACAATCTTTCATTTATATATTACTACTACTTCTATGAATTTGCTGTTCATATTGTTGTGTTAATGAGGTGTGGCAACTTGGACCGATGCATATATATGCCTGGTCCTACGTTGCAGCTAACTGACTGATTCATGAAAGCTTCTAAAATCGCCTTCATATAAACAAAGAAATGGAACGTTACATAGTTAAAATATTCGTAACCATTTTCACAAACAGACATAATCAGCAAACACTTTCAGAGTTTATTGTAACTCAATTGTAATTTATGCACTTTTGACGCATCACAAATGACTGACAATCATTGCTATTTTTTACCGTTTTAAAAATACAAAATACTACCGAATTAACTCAATCAGACATAATCCTTATTATTACTTTGGTAAAATGTTTAACAATAATTAGCAATCTTTATTTTCAATGCCTTGAAGAATAGATAATTCAGCATTTATATCTATCTAATGAATTTTTACATATCAATATATCTAAACTTTCTAAACATCAGTCAATAGATACCATTGTTTTTTCAGCTCATCTGCAAAGTTCGACAGTGGGTCAGGTTGGCCATCATTTTATCAAGTTTATGGATCAAACGGGCGAGACGATTCGCAAACAAATGTTACTAGAACGGAAGATAATTCACTGGACTCGATGAGAATAGAAATCTCATGTAAACAGGTATGTATGTGTTCACTGAAAAGCATGATATCTTACTTTGTATTCAGTAGTATTTAATAAATAAATGTAATTTTCATGTTAAGAGAAATGTGTCTCAGCATTTTCTCTAGTCGTATTGTATATACACTGCAAAGGTTGATCACCTTGGTTGAAAGAAAGGAATTTTGTTAAACTTTTGACTAAGTTCCTTTATTCATTAAAATAACCTAAATGTCTTGTCATCGGATACAGTTAGTAAAAAGAACGAATAGGGCGAAGAAATGTTTTCTTTTCAATTAGTTTTCATCATACCTCTTCACTAATTTATATATGTATGGTTTACAACAATGAAATAATACACATCGAGTAGTTGAATAACGTAGTAATTATATAGTGTAACAATGATTACAAAATAATATTAAGTATTAAAAAGATCAAAGTAGTTATCCGAAAAATTAAACAGTTGCTGCGTTGCATAGTGAATAAAAGGAATTAACACAATATTTAGATGAAAGGTCAGTATTATAGTAACTCTGTAGAAATCAAGAAACATGTTGAGAACGTTAAATTGCAAAAGTAAAAGAAATTTGAAAATTGCTAGAGTATTCTCAGAAGAGGGGGTTCGATCGAAGTTCAGTTAAAACTTACTCCTATACTGATGGGCAGGATGGCGAGAATGGTTGTACGAACTTCTTTTGGATTCGTAGGTGTTAGGTTTATGAACATGGATTCTGATAGCCTCAGCAATCTGCAAAAGCTGAACTCAATTATGTGGTAAATTTGATAAAATATATTAGATAGCTTTGAGTGCTTTTTCAAGTTAACTTGACGTCCTATGTTCACCAAATGAGCGAGTATAGAACTGCTGCTTTTCCTTTACCCAACCAAGATGGTTGGTGTTTCACTATGCGATGACGGACTTACCTGACCATGCGCCTTTTATAACTGTTTCGACAGGAGCGGATGAATTGATAAATACACATGGACGTGGCAAATTCAGGCTGTTTGTTTTTATTGATGATTTTGATTACCGAGCGATTGCAGAAACTGCATTCATTTAGACTGCAGTAATTGTTTTCTGCACTTCATTTCTTAACCTTTGAGTTACAATTTTCCCGGTAGCATCACTTACGAATAGTAATGTTAGGAACATTAACTTCTGAAGGGTAGTTACTTTCATTCATGTGTTTGTTGTTGCATTCCGTTGTATATCCATTCCTACAAACAGGTTACGAATATTAATCATTTCATCTACAATTGTGTCATCAAAACAAATCATTCTAACACAATGAGTCGGAATTTTTATTAGGTTTCTTTTATATGTGATTGGTACAGCACTATAGAAATAAGTATATTGCCCAACTGTAAACTTTCTATGTATCCCTCTCTTTAATGTCCTATCTACTCTTGTTAGTTGGATATTTAGAGACGATATGCTATCACTATGTTCCTTCTCAAGTGTAAAAGTAATAATTGGATGAGTGCTATCAAATGTAACAAGTAAATTATTCTTCTCCTGTCTGTTTTTTTTAAAACTGTGAAAGTATCATCTACATAGTGACAGTAGAATGTTAAATGATTGATTATGTCTTTAAATGGTTCATTTTCCATTTTTCCAAGAAAAAATGTTTGCCAAAGGAGTGCGTAATGGTGACCCCATGGCTACACTATCCAATTGCCTATCGTATTCATTGTCGATACAGAAGTGGAAGTTCGTCGTGCATCTAAGAACTAACTATTTTCTTGCAGATACGGGAATTAAGGTTTCTTTGCGTCTCTCTATTAGTTCAATGCATATGAAACAATTTCTTCGTGGAACGGTTTAAGAACTTTCACTAACCATTTTGCTCTTATATGATAGGCTGAGTTATTCATATCGAAACGAGTTGAAGAGGCAAACCACTTTTATGTATTTTTTGTCAGACCTTATAGCCTTATTGTTATGGTTCCTGTAGGTCTCAACATTCTGAACACTTTTTCTAAAATAAAACCTTGTTTAATCGGTTCAAATGAGTCTATTACTTGCTTTTCAATACTGTCTGTCACGTTATTCTCATGTGGGAAATTTACATTCCATTTACAATACAAATAGATTGTTATAATTTTCAGACAGCAGAAGATACAGTTGGGGTTGTACTTTTATTGGGTGAGTTTCTTAGATTACAGTGAATTACAGGCTGACATTAGATTTATCAGAGGTTCAGCAATTGAGTGGGAAAAGAACCACAACGCTTCAATCGACAGTCTAGTCCGATCTTGAAGGAAATAAACAAATATCCGGATGATCGACTACAAATAAGGTCGCAGAATAACTATGTACAAAACGATTGACTAGTCTTTTTTAAATGTTCAGTACGAGTTTTCAGGGTGTAGACATAAGTCATTTCATTTGGAATGTAGTTTGTTAAGAAATGTAAGAATATGTATACAGAGCTTACAAGAAAACTGTTGGTCATATGTTGCTTCAGATCATGGTGGAGAATGAATTAAATGGTTTGTTTGATAGCCACGAACTAAACTTTTCACAGCATACATGGTTTGAGAATAAATGGATGTTTGTATTCCTGTCCTCAAGAGACTCGTTTCAAACATAATGACTGACGAGGAAATTGAATGTATATCGTTGTCTACAATACATGAGATGAAAAAAGGATATTTAGCTGCTGTAGTGTAGCTAATTGTACTCCGCCTTGTCTACTTAGATTGCGCGGGTTTACCTAAATGTGAAGTCCTTGGACTGTCTTTATTAGAATTTTATAGACCTCTACTGAACAGCTTAACATGACTGAACAATTGTTTGGTGGTGGTACACAGTTATTTTTTTGACTATACTTATTTTCTATAATTCTGATTGTTTCCTTGAAGAAGCTCGAACTATACTTCCTAATGAAGCGTTCAAGTTATTCTTAATTTCGATTGCTGAGAATTTTACAAGTATAATTCCATTTGTGGTGTCTTTCATACGTTCAGCAACCAACTATTGTAGAACCAATCGTTCAAGTTTGGACGGAATTTCGTACAGAAAAAATTACGATGACTTGTTTAGTATTGTGAGAAGTGTTGAGCGTTGTGAACGACAAGGGAAAAATTGGTGAATAACTCTTGATAAAAATATGTTTCTCGGAGAAAAATGGATATTTCTATGCAGATCCGTCATCTCAAGTTGTTCAATTCTATTAGATTTTGTGTCCTCACTTGCTGACTTTTAGAGTTTGAAGGTTCTTTCCACCGCAGTACTTTTCACAAACTACTTGAATGGCTACTATTGTCGTGATTTTGCCTATTTTACTGTAATCCTCCTAAGCTAAAGTATAACGAAGTCATGCAATTATTCTTTAAAATCATAGTATTCATATGAATATAATTTTTATAAGACCGTTTCGGAGAATTTTATTTTCTGTTAGACTTTCTGTAGCGATATACTTAAATAATCTACCTTTTGCCATGGTATCATATTTAATCGAATTAGTCTAGTTCTAAAAAGTATTCACATTTTTTATTTTTTCCAATAGTGTGGCGCTCATCTAGGCCATGTGTTCGAAGATGGACCTAAACCAACCGGTTTACGTTATTGTGTAAACAGTGCATCTTTGTCATTTAGAAAATCAGAATAATTGATTGAAAGAATATTAATAAAATCATTTGGCTGACAAGAATGCATCAGGTCTTAATATGAATTGGCTAACTTTTTCTTTTTATCCAATGTTTGTATCGATCAGGTGTCGGCTAATAAACTCATATGCTTTCTTACAACCATGCTTTTATTACTTTACCCGTTATATTCAGTTGATGGTAGTAAGCGAGCTAAATGCGCGAGGAAATTTACGAAGTTTTAGCTAGGAGCTGTGATCACTGGAGCTCAACCATATGGAGCGTGGGGCAGTTAGCCAATAAAGGCAATGAAAGGTGATTGGGTAGTACCACGAGTTCATTGAAGCTAAACATGTACACCATTGGCTGTTGCCAACTCGCGTCAGTTGTGGCGCAGGCGAGATATCCGCCTGTCAAATAAAGGACGATTTTACTTTGCAGCAGTTCGCTCCGTTCTACTTTATGGGTGTGAAATGTGGCCATTAAGAATAGAGGATATTCGTGGGTTGCCAATATTCGTTCAAAGATGTCTTCGAAGTATTGCCCGTGCATTTTGGGACCACGGAGTAAGCAATGCCTGGGTTATGAATATGGTATCAGGTAAGGGTGGCAAGTTAACTGATTGGGTAGTAAATCTTCATCAACTGAGGTGGTTGGGGATGTGTTACGTATGCCTATCCATCGCCTACATCGACGGGCGATGTTATTTGGTGTAAGAGTATGCTGGAGGACAGCTAGCGGCGGCCAAATTAAGACATAAAACCAGTCCATTAAGTCACTAACAATTGAATTGATCCTTGTATGTAGGTTCAGATTATCCGTTTACGGTCGTGCGGTTTTCATAAACAATGGTCAGGTTAAGCGTTTACCTCGAGAACTGAAGTTGCTTGGTTCAATCCCTGGTGGAGGCTTGATGCACACTGTTGAAGATTCTCACACTAAGACGAGACAGCTATCCAATGCTTTCTAGTTTCCAGTGGGTTTTTTTCCAACTTATTTTGATTCTGAATCTCAATAACATTGTATAAAAACGGATGACATATTATGTAAGTCAATTTCGGAACACATGGAAAAACAAAACGAATAACAAGCATTATTTAGGATATATTTTTATGACATGTAATGTACATTGTTTATCTTAGTTATTTCTAATGGACATCCTTATAACGTATAATAAATAATATAAAGTTATTTCACTGATAATATATATTTGAATTCATCTCAATGCTTTTGTCTATTATCATTAATAAAAGAAATTAGTTATTAAAAGTTTTTTCTTTTTGAAATTGAACCAATTGTTTATGTGCATCTGGTGGTATATTTTTTAATAATTTCTCAGCTAAACGTTCACGTAATGATGGAATGCTAACCTTGAATAAAATGAAACATGGAAATTATTATTGGAAAATTACTTTTTTTTCATCTTTTGAATTAAAATGAATGAAGTTAACTGACTAAAAAAGTAAACTCCATCAATGTGATAAATGTACGACAATGCAATGGAGAAGATATTTTTGCTGTTGTTGAGTTCTCTGGGCTAGATGATTTAATTGTATAGTTTTCAATGTTGGTCTAAACAACATCGTCAGTACTTAATCTATGCAAAAGTGGAGTTTCTAGTTATTTTGTAAGCCTTAAAACTTGACAATGAAATCTCTACGATTAAACCATTTAGATGAGAAAACATAACTTTATCATAAAATGTTATATTATCATGAAAAAACGCAACGATTTTTAATTATTAAACATCGAAAAAGTATAGTTCTTGAAATGAGCATCATATTTACTTGGGATTTACTAACTAGTCATAAATAAATATTAATATTTTCAAGGTTTAATTTAAGGTTGAAGAATTGAAAAAAATGAATGTTAATCCCAGTTCCCTGTTAATCTTTATCAAACTAAACAAATATCTATTGGGAAAATTAACATGAATTAAAAATAAAAACAACATCCAATTGGTCTTTACTTAATTACAGATTTAATATATTAAAAAACATTTATTTTTACCAAATGTAATAATTAAGAATAATAGATTCATATCAGAAGGGTTTTTGTGGATATTCTAATAATTTCAATGGTTGAGATCATGAGTTAATTGAAGCTAGACCATCATGGAAAACCTGGAACACGGCCGTTTAGTGCTTCTAGGTTTTCTATGGTGGTCTAGCTTCAACTGACTCATGATTTTAATCTGTGAAAATTTCTAAAATCTCCACAAACCCCTTCTGATAATAATCATCTGCTCATTAGTGACTGACTTCAAGAGATACTTCTGGAGTTCTAGTGAGAAGTCGTTACCAGTGGAGTTCAACCAGGTCTGTTGTGAGATATCAGCTCACTGATGACAATAGTGTACGGTGGCGCAACTTCGTGAATTGGTTGAAGTTAGACATTAACACCGTTGGATTCCGGCTCAGTGGTCTAATGGTTAAGTGCTCACGCGCGAAGCCAGTAGGTCCTGGGTTCGAATCCCGCGGGATGAGGGACCGTGGATGCGCAGTGTTGAAGAGTCCCATACTAGAACGAAACGGCCGTCTAGTGCTTCCGGGCTTTCCATGGTGGTCTAGCTTCAACTGACTCATGATTTCAATCTGTGAAAATTTCTAAAATCTCCACAAACCCCTTCTGATAATTATTTAATAATTGAATTCATGAGTCTATTAAAGCTAGACAATCATAGAAAACTTGGAAGCACCAGACGGTCGTTTCGTCCTAGTATGGGACACATCAGTGCATACCCATGATTCCGTCCACGGGATTCGAACCCAGGACCTACTGGCTTCGCGCGCGAGCACTTAACCTCTAGAGCACAGAGCCGGCATCCAACGGTGTTAATGTCTAACTTCAACCGATAATAATAATAATTTGTAGTAGACTTAGTTTACCTTTAAGTTATAATTTAATTCAAACTTATTTAGAAATAAATTACTTCTTATTTTTTATGGGTGAATCATAAAGAATAGAAATTTCGTTTAAAATTCTGCATATTTATTGTTCAGTTATGGTTTAATTGTGTTGTGATTTCATAATCATATCAATTTGATAAAAGATAACTTAATGAAATAGTCTTTTTTTCTACTACTGAAATAGAGGACAAATTAAAAAATAATAACCGTAAAAATGAACATAACGTGGTGATATCCACATTAATTAATTTCTGAAGTGAATAATAATACATAGTTCTGATATACTACTGAAATTAAATGTTTTGTCATGTTCATTTAGAAATGATTAAAGAATATGCTTTATTAGAAAGAAAAAGTTCATATTGGATTATTCTAAAAGTATAAATCAATTGATATTTGGTTCGCATCTATTCTGTTATGTAACTCGTCAACAATATAGACTTATTAAACACTGTTACAATCCAATTAGACATCCATGAACTTCACAATTGAAAGTGGTTATCTGTGAAGTTGAGTTTCAATACTAATATCAACTAATAAGTAACTTAAATCTAACAAAATTTTGACAAAACAACTCAAAGGTTTCCTGCCGCAATATAGTTGTAGTAATTAAGGGGAATTAATTACTATTAAGTAGTGATTGACTATTCAATTAAGCGCATAGATGAACTTGGAGAATTTTTTATACGTTATTTGTCTAATAATTGTTAATGATTGGTGACATGTGGCCTGTCATCATATATTGATGAAAATTATCTTGATGCATATAGCAGAAGTCTACAATCCAATTATTATTACGATTAAAAAAAAACGTAATTTGTGCTCTCTTATTTTTATCACATTTACCACTGGGAATCTGTTCGAATTGGTAAAAAAAACGTTTATGAGTATTCATTAAAAGATATACGCAAATATTCTTTTTGTTTCCCTATCGGGTATATTAGAAAATAACCGTAGTTAGTAACCTCACAAATAATCAATAACTCACTGTAACTGGTCTTGTCTTTTGAACCTGATCACCTTGAACTTTTGTTCGGATCCCAGTTGACTGTCCTTTATCTGTTCGACCTAACAGATTAGCTGATGAAGGTTTTTGTTTTATTTCTATAAGAATGAAAAAGTAACATGTACCGATTTTTATAAAGAATAACAATTATGAAGCTTTCTGTATTTTACTAATTATACAGTTTAATATTATTTAATCTAGAGGATAAACAATTCAAATAATAATACAGCAAAACATCTTATCACTAGCCTTTTTGTATGTTTTATGTCTTCAATTTGAATGTTAGATTATGGTTTAGTGTAATACATTTCAAAGGCTCAACAGCAAACTTTGTCGATAGTGTATCTTGATAGCTTGCGGAAACATTATTTGTATTAGTAACTTGAGTAAATATAAAACCAGTTTTAGATCTTTTCTTTTACCAATATTCATACAAGTTTATCGGTTTTTGTTGAAATCACCTTTTTTTACACTGACAACTATATTATGGTAGCCAATTACAGTTATAGATGTTATTTAACTAGTTCGGTTTAAATTATTATATATCATTAGATGATTGACTGAAAACACAACCCGCTTTTTAAAGTAATGCTATTTTATACAATACATCATACTATTTTAAAAGTCGAATTTAGCCGAACCACCATTAGAAATGTGGAAGCACTGGATGGCCGTATCATCCTAGTATGGGACTGAGCAGCGCGCATCCACGATCCCCCACGGGGAAATCGAACCCAGGACCTTTGGTCTCGCTCGAGGACGCCTAATCTCTAGACCATTGAGCGGCATCCAACCATGTTAATGTCTAACCTCAATCAATCCACGATCTTGCTCAACACTTCATCCCTTGTCTCGGGCGAACAAATTTTTCCACCGCACACGGATTGTATTCCACTAGTCATGGCTTTTCAATAGAAGTCCAGGAAATCCATCTTGAAGATAGTCACTAGTGAGCACATCATGACGCCTCAGTGGTCTAGAGGTTGAGCGTTCCTGTGCAAGACCGAAGGTCTTGGGCTCGAGTCCCTTTTGTGGGGTCGTGGATGTACACTACCAAGAAATCCCATACTAGAACCAAACGGTCATCCAGTGCTTCCAGAGTTTTAAT